GCACTCCAATGTTCACTGCAGCACTACTTACAATAGCCAAGACATGGAAGCAACCTAAAGGTCCAACGACAGGTGAGTGGATAAAGAAGATGTGGTACATATGTACAATGGAATATTACTCCGCCATAAAAAAGAATGAAATAATGCCATTTGCAGCAATATGGATGGACCTAGAGATTATCATACTAAGTGACAAAAGTCAGACAAAATGATACAAATGAATTTACTTACAAAACAGAAACAGATTCACAGACTTAGAAAACAAACTTATAGTTACCAAAGGGGAAAGGTGGGGGAGGGATAAATTAGGAGGTTGGGATTAACACATACACACTACTATATATAAAACAGATAAACAACAAGGACCTACTGTATAGCACAGGGAACTCCACTCAATACTCTGTAATAATTTTTATGGGGAAAGAATCTAAGAACAGATGTATGTATATGCATAACGAAATCACTTTGCTGTACACCTAAAACTAACACAACATTGTAAATCAACTATACTCCAATGTAAAATAAAAATTAAAAAATAAATAAAAGAGTTAAAAAAAGAAAAAATGGTTCAGTTGATATGGATACCGTGATTACAACTGTATTCATATCATTTTAAGTGTTGTTATAAAAGGTGTTCTAAGCCACTGATCATTAAAAATATTTAGCATTTCTACTGGTGTCAGTTTTTACTAAGTGCTATGAACCGAACTGCGTCCCCGCCAAAATCATATGCTGAAGCCCTAACTCTCAATGTATTTGGTGATAGGGCCTTTGGGGGATAATTACGGTTAGACGAGGTCACGAGGGTAGGGCCCTCATGATGGGATTAGTACGCTTATAAGAAGTCCCACCAGAGAACTTACTTTCCCTTCACCCGCTGCCCCTACCGTGCAAGAAGGCAGCTGTCTGCAAGCCAGGAAGAGAGCTCTCACCACAGAAAAGTGTTGGCTAAACCTTGATCTTGGACTTTCTAGCCTTCAGAACTGTAAGAAATAAACTCCTGTTGTTTACATCACCCAGTCTGTGGTATTTTATAATAGCAACCTAGGCAGACTAATACACAAAGCAAGCAAAAACTCAACAGTAGAAGAAACAACATCAGAGTCAAACCAAAAATCCATGATGTGTTGGGGTCACCGTCCCCTAGAATTTGTAAGCAGAAATTACAAAATCTCTTAGCTTTTCTGTACAGAAAGCTAAGAAAAAAAAATGAGATAGGAATAAGAGTTTAAAAAACAAACCAGGGACTTCCCTGGCGGTCCAGTGGTTAAGACTCTGCCCCTCCACTGCAGGGGGCGCAGGTTTGATCCTGGTCAGGAGCTAAGATCCTACATGCCACAGGGCGCTGCCAAACAAAACAGAACAAAACAAAAACCAAATCCACTACGTACAACTACATGGAAATACTGTTCATTGATTTCACTTTTTGACTAAGCGACTGCTCTTATCTTGATGCTTTACATTTTATCATCTGTATGGGCAGTTGAAATCTAAAGATTCTCCTGGACTGAGACAATGACAGTTCTTTTCTACATATTTTTCTTAATTTGGTGTATATACCTTCAATAGACCAATTTCCTTCACCTGAAAGACATTGAAATGGATGAGAAGCATGAGGGGAAGCCTGTTGGGTCACAGAAAGACCTTATCACTGTGTTTTGTATGAAGCCGTACAGAATTCCAACCTGCTTTCCCAAACACCTGGAACTTTAAATTCCTGATTATTAATCTCCAAAGGCCCTTATGCTACTTTACTTTTCTAGTACATTCACTTTCCTATTTTCCTCAATCTCTAACACTTCTATTCCCACCTTCTCACTCAGCTGATGACCTCGATTCCTACTTCACTGAGAAAACCAAGGCAATGAGAGGATAACTTGAACACTACCCACCTAACTGGCATCTGTGCCCATATCCTCTCTGCTCTTGGCCAATCTATTTATGTACTAGAACTCACTCCTCTCACCTAAGGACATGACTCCAATAATTCTCCTTCCTCTCTCCCTCATTAGTGTTTTTACTCTCTGCTGAATCATTCTCAACAGCATACAAATATGCTGTTATTTTTCCTAATGAACCAAAAACTAGTTTTCCCATGTTCACCACCCCCACCCCACCCCTGCTTTCAGTCAATGGCAACTCCATCCTTACAATATTCCGGCTGAAAACTTTGGAATCCTTTTTTAGTTTACTCACACCCTCCTTCTAAGCCATTAGCAAATGCTTTAGGCTCTTCCTTCAAAATATACCCCAAATCCAACCACTTCTCACCAGCTTTATTGCTACCACCCTGAACAAAACTACCACCATGTTTGGTCTGAATTTTTGCACCTGTCACTCCGCCTCCATTCTTGCTCCCCCAACTCTCTCGACCCTTTTTATTCTGATCACAACAGCCAAAGGGATCCTGTTAAGATATCAATTACTGAATGAATTGAATACTTATTCATAATTCTAGAAACATTTTACAAGCCAATTTTGTTTTCTATTTTTCAAGGAAATTGGAAATTTTTCTTCCTCAATCTTTTCTGCTGTCAGCGAGAAAAAAGTTAAAAGAAAAAAAACAGTAATCATTAAATTTGCTCCCCTACATAACTTTATTTCACTCTCCATAAAGCCTTGTTCCCACCCTAGGGAGGATGGCCAGAAGGAGCGAGTCTCCATAATGCTGGTCCTTCACTAGAGCAAAGATAAATTAATGCAACAAATCTGTGCCCTTTAATCCGACACCTCTCCCTCCGTTAAGTCTTTTTTTTAAGGCTCCCTTGACCTCTTTACTGCGACTATTAAACACCCCTTAATCACCATGCTCCTTTAATTCTGAGATTTGTCTGTTTCAGTTTGGTTCTGATTTGGTCACTAACATTCCAAAATATAGGAAAGGTTGAGATACTGTTCCAGGGAGACTTCTCAAGTAACAGCAATTAAAGATCAATCTTCATTATGTTGGAATTATCAACACGGTGACTTGGAACCACAGTCCTATGAGCAGACAGTACTTACTAAGTACTAAAAGATTTTCACTGAAGCATACCGTTTCCTAAATTCTCGAGTTCATTTGTGTTTTTTATGCTGGAGACCTTGCTCTAAACCCCAAATGGTAAATTTTGTGAGGCTTGTGGAAGAGAAGAGGATTAAGAAAAAGGAAAGATTAAAATAATATTTTAATAAGAATAGTATCCATTTAACTTCAGAGATATTTTAAACGTCATAAACTAAACTAAATAAATAAACTCTAGAATGCTTGACTCATAATAAATTTATGAAGACTGATCCTTCCAAGTCTTTCCTATCTCAGTAAATGGCAACTACATCCTTCCTCTAGCTCAGGCCAAAACCGTCAGGGTCATCCTTGACTGGCATTTCAGATCTGGTCCTTTACACTTACTGTTCCCTCTGCCTGGATTGTTCTTTTCCTAGATCATCACAGTGCCAACTTTTTCCCATTTCAGATTTCTTCTCAAATATTATCTCATCAGTGAGGCCTTCCCCCAACATATTTAAAAGAGTAAACTAACACCTCCCAACACCGCCACTGACGGTTCCCCTGCTGTACTGTTCTGGAAGCACTGGCACACTTCAGATCTACACACACTGCAGATCTGGCTTGTTTTACTTATTCTTTAGTTTACTGTCTCTCCCCACTAGAAGGTAAGCTCCATGGACAGAAATTCTGTCAGTTTTGTTCACTGTCAAATCTACAACTGGTACAATGCCTGACACATAGCAGGCACTTAGTTATTTGTTTAATGAATGGGGATGACTAAGTAAAACTATGACATCTACCTCAGGAAAGGCAACCATTTAATCTTCAAATTACTCACTTATTCCTCCTAACAAGCTCTACAAGGACAAAAACATCCTTCCTGATTGAACACTGGTGGTAACGCTTAGGCATACATTTAAGAAGGAATGAAATTTAGCAGTTCATAGCATACAAGATATAGTTCATTCTTTACCTCCATTACCAGAAAACTAGAAATTATGACCGCATGTTGCATCACGTTTTCACATGACAGAGGTCCCTTTTCAATTCACCTACGTATTGTCCAGTTTTACCTCTAAAGTCCTTTAGTTCCCTAGTATTTTGAGCTGCCAAGCATTAAATTAACTAGGTCCAAACCTTGTCCACTTTTATCGGAAACATGATCTCCCAATTACTTTCTTAGCATTTTGAAATTCAAAAAAGAAGCCCAAGTACTTTGTCTGAACTATTACAACATCTAAGCATTCAAAAAAGTCAAGTGCTTCAAAAGAAAGATCTCTGCCTGAAATACTGTTATTATCACCAACAATGCCATCAAACAAGTTCTCAGATTCAAACAGAATTAAAGTTGAAAAATATGAAAAAGTAAATCAAAAGAATAATATTAATAGCAACCAACAATGAGGAGGCAGCGTCACTGTTATCTAAGGAAAGAAAATTCCTGTCAAGTACTGCTTGAATCATTTCCTAGATGAGTGAATCAGAACTCTTTCTCAACAGTAAAGTACACCAAAAGTCTGTACAAAGGTCGCAATTTACTGGCTGTAGCTTTGCAGAAAAAAAAAAAATTTAAACCAGTTCTTGAGAAAGTTAAAAAAGCATGACTTTAAAATTCCTGGTATGTTTTGCGTGTTCAGCTGACTAATTTAAAGGCGCTAAATAAAATCAGTCTGTTTCACTCCATCCCCATGACGCTATGTCACTAAGTTCTTAGGCAACTTTCATGCAATTTCAACAATAACAACAAAAGTAAATCAGACGCGACGAAAACAGAACGGAGAGTACGCTCTCAGGCGATCTCTCACTTTCTAACAATAGTGGCGTGAACTATTTCTAACTAGTGGCGTGAGCAGGTTTCTCAATCACAAGAATGGCAAGAATCTAGCGATGGTTAAGTTTTCCCAGGGCCAGAGGACACCGTCAAGGTCTGGCCGGCATCTCATACCTCCACGACTTCGGTCCCCCCCAAAAGCCCTGAAAGCACAGGCCTCTTAGGGCCTGGGGTTCCCCTCACCGTCACTGCACTTATACTGGCAGAGCCCGTCCTCGCCTCCCAGGAGGTCCAAGGCGGCGTTCAGGTACGTGTCTATCTTGTGAACGCCGTTCCGGATGGTCTTCAGGGAGGCTCTCCAGTCGGTGGTCTGCGCCTGCTCCTGGCACCTGAAAGCGGCGGTCAGGAGGAAAAGGACGGCGAGCACGGGCCGCAGGAGCAGGGCCATCCGCGCAGCGCCGGGCCGTGATAGGCCGCACGGGTGCCCGGAGCCGCGCCCCAGGCAGCGTCCCTCGGGTCGCCCTAGGCAGCGGCGCGGGCCCGGGTCTTGGCGACGGCGGCCAGCTCCATGCCCACGCCTCCTGCCCTGCTGGGAGGCGGGCCCTCACCGCCTTGCAACGAGCTCACGCTGGGAGACAGCGCCTCGGCGGAGATCGGGGAGCGGCACACGCGCCCACCTGGGCGGGCCGCGGCTCCTGTGCGCCTGCGCCAAGCGTGGTGCCTCAGAGGCGCGGCGGGGGCGGGCCAGAGCGGCCGCTGCGTCCTCCCCACCCACGTGGTGGTCGCGGCGCGCCCTCGAGGCCGGCTCGCCTGGCCCTCGTTAGTACTACCTTAGGGGTTCGTTATACTAACTAAATACCCATGCCGGGCCCCGTACCCCAGACAGGCAGATTAGTTCGTTCCGGTGTCAGTGGACATCGGTATTTTTTGAAAGCTCCCGGGGTAGGTGTAGGGTGCAGCCAGGTGGCGAACCCTTGTGACCTCATCTGACCTATCGGGGTGCAGCCCAGCCACCCCGAGCGACAAGATTTTCAGGGTGTAGACAACGTCAGAGAAATGAGCCACCCCCCACCCTCCCTACCCGTAATCCCCTGCAGAGAGCGCTGCTTGAAATCGTGATTCTGCGGGATACGTGGGCCGAACGCGCATCTCACCTCCTCGGGTCCGTACCCGGTCCTCTCGAACCGCGGTGGCCGCGGTTGGGGGATCGGGATTGGAACATGTTAACCCAAGGCCGTGGTGGTGCCCGGCTGACAAAGACGAGCTAGATGCTAGTTTAGAAATTTTGGAAGAAGAAAATGGTTTGACAATAAAACCATGAGTTTTCTTCCCTGGTAAGGAAGAAGCCGTCCTCCATACTTAAACGCAGTTTAAAAAAAAAAAAAAAGGAAAGCACAGTTTTCCTACTCAAGATATTTTGTAACTTGATGGCTCCAGTGACATTTCCCTGTATTTTTTCCCAGTGCAGCGCAGAATCCTTAAATAACAATTGCAGTAATTTCTACCAGAGCTATAAATAGTTATCTTAGTATCCTGGCAGTTTCCAAGAATTTTACAGTAAGATCCAGGGCAGTATTGCGAGTGTTGAGAAAAGATGTGTCCTTTCTATAAGAATTACCAATAAATTCTAGTTTGCCGTTTTGTGTTTCTTACAAGCTTCATGAATTTATAATAAATGTGCAGTGCAGAGCTCATGAGAATTATTTCTCTATTTAGAGCTTAGTCTGTGCCACGCACTTCATGGACTTGATCTCTCACACTCAGAACACCACTTTTCAGGAATACAACCTTTGGGCGAATTAGAAACAAAAAAGGTGGTCGCCAGATGAGCTCAACCCCAGGCTAGGTTAGTGGAGACTGGCCTGCCTTAAGTCTGCCCTCAGATGCTCAGCCAGGCACCCTTGGGCTGTGATCAACTTGAACTACAGTGGAGGGAAGAGGAGAAATGTGCTTGAGAGGTATTATCCTTTTTACAGTAAAGGAGTTGAGGTGCCCGCAGAGCAGTCATGTGACAGTATCCAGTCAAATCAAGGTGGCTTGCGGCATCTTAGTTCCCCCACCAGGGATGGAACCCTGGCAGTGAGAGTGCCGAGTCCCAACACTGGACCGCCAGGGAATTCCCAAGGTCTCTTTCTGCCATCACCAGATGCCAAAGATTTTTTTTTTTCTTTAATTTTTGGACAGTACACTTCAACAGTTGGGAAAAAGAAACAGAATTCTTTTTTCTTTTTTTTTTAAGCTTCCTGGAGCTTTGGGTTTCTCATCTCTGAAGTTTGGATGTTGTACCAGATTACCTCTGAGGTCCCACCTAGCTCCACCAGGGGAACACTTAAACCAGGCTCGGCTCTTTCAGAGAAACTCACTGGTATGGGAATAAGTCTTCAGAAAGAAAAGACAGAATATTGTATAGTAATGTTACCTGGTTCCAGCCCTGTTATAGATGCCCCAAATCTCTCCTTTTTACCTTTTCTGTATACATTTACTCCTTGGTGATCTCATCTAATTTCTTTACCCTAAATACAGCCTCAGCTCTGAGGATTCAGGTTTAGTCTTCGTTGTCGCATCTTTCCTTAGGGATTAAATTCTCAAACTCCATTTCCTCTGGCTGATAGAGATCTTCTCTTTTTCTCTCAAACAGATCTCCTTTTCTACTGTGTTCTTCATGGAAATCACTGCCATCTTTCCAGAAAACAAGATTTAAGTTTTATTTTCACATTCTTTCATAATCAATCATTAGATATTTGTTCTGCTGTAATGAT